AGGTCCAGACGGCAGTCCAAGTTCACCGTGGCAACGATGTTTCTAGATGGGTCAGCCTCGTCTGCGATGCAAACTACAATGGGGCTTCCTACTGGAGGGTGGGAGTGATGCCACTCGGGCCCGCAGAACCAGCACCCGGCGTCGCAGCGGGGGTCGCGGGAGTCACCCCAGTACCGTTCGTGACTTGAACGCCCTGCATGCTGATCACCGTTGGTCGCCGTACCCTTCAGTGCGCCGCCGAGTTTGCGAACTCATTCGCGCCACCGAGGAACGATAGCGAGCCAGGCGCGGTGAACGCCTTGGCCTGCGCAGCGTTCGAAGGGATGAGTCTGAATGGCTCCCATGTTGTGCGAAATAAGCCAGACGACTCGATCTCAGTTTGGGTTTCTGTTCGCGCGAACAAATCTACAAGGAAACGACGAGTTAGATGAGGGTTGGTAAAATGGAGAAAATGGCAAAAATGGGGAGGCGAGTCTCGATGGGCAGTTGGTGAGATGGGGGAGAGAGAGAGTGAAGGGCAATTTATGGCTATTTTCATGGTCCGTGCACCATTCTGGCAGTTACTGATTGCCCAGGTGGTGAATCGATGTGAAGTTGTGATGTTGTTTTTAAAACGGAGTGATGTTCTCAAGCACATGGGACGAGTCGGGAGAAAGAGGGGGCATACCAGAATGTGGGAGATGAACAAGTTAATGTGTCCCCCTAAACTGCTGTCCGTCGGCAAACACCCTCGAGGATGGTCGAGATGTCTCAATCAACGACCTCAAAAATAGACTTCGCTGATGCGATGCTGCGCTTGATTGCGACTGGCGATGGCTCGGAGCCAGAAGAAGCCTCGACGATGACGGGATCGAAGCGGGTTTCGGCACACGGTGCAGAGGCTGGCTTGCCCACACTTCTTCAACTCACGGCAGGACGATCTTCCTCTGGGAGAGGATAGCAAAGTGCACTGTGGCTTGTGCAAACGGATCTTCTATTACCCTCGACGATTAAAGGGTCGATTCGTGACAGACGGCGGTTTCCTTTGGAGGTCAGAGGGCGTCACGAATGACGAAGTGACGGCAGGCCCTAGTCCAGAAACGAGGGAACGGTCGTCTGTCTCTGTATCGACAGATTAATCCTCGACTCTAAATGAATGAGAGATTGCGCCCACACAGCGCAGGTATGTGGAAAAAACCGTTGGATGTCTGAAAATGACAAGCAACGGCCGACGTCAAGGTCGTTTTGTGAAAAAAGTGGAGTTTTGTTGATGGTAGGGGTGTGGGTCAAAAAATGTGTGGCCGGAGGCAGGTAGCAACGGCCGGTTGGGGACTTCCGGGCGCGGGCGGAAAACAAATCGGGGGAGCGGCACCTACTTATAATTTTCGCTCGCATACCCAGTGGCGCCTCAGGCAACAACGCTAGGCTTGTGGCGGCGGATCCCTTGCTCTTTCATGTTCTGCGATTTGAGATGCGGCCAATCAGAGGTCGGCCGTGCAGGATTTTTTCTTTCCTTCAGCCAATTAAAACCACTCATCTGCGCCTGCCTCCTGAACCCACCCCTGTGCACAATGCCAATGTACTGGTACTTCGGTGTAGAGCAAACCTCCAGCTCGCCCTTCGCATTCAGGCCGCTAGGATCCCCAACACCACCCAACCATGCGACCATTCGCCATCTCAACCAGAAACCCGTCACACACCCATTGCGACCTCCTGAAACGCACAGCTCTCTCTCCCCTATGTTCGTTTAATGCGCTGCTGTTTCCGCGACGCTTCATCGAACGAAACGAAAACTTGTTGATTTTTTCCCCTTCAACGCTAGGATCTTCACAAACACAACGAGACACGACTGCCGAACGACACGACCGCGCTGCATGCCGGGTTGTTGCTGTTTACATCACCGCCCTCCGTTGGTTCCTGCGCTCCATGACCGTTGTATGATGATCGCCACCTCTCGTCGAACCCAACAAACCCAAATCCGAGACGTCCGGCCACCTTGCTGAAAGTCAACTCGACATGAATGAGGACAACAAAAAGAGGCCGAGTTGTCTCCCGCTATCAGAGGATGCAGCTGAGCGTCGCGGCTGAAGGCTGCCAGTCTACGCCTTGCTCCGCACCCTAAATCAACAACTGAAGTCGGTATTGACGCTCGCCCTTTCGCCGAGGAACGCTCGTGCCGCTGAGCACTATTATGAACGACGACCTATTTTCGCGCCAGAACTAGACAGACTTCATGCTGTTATCCTGTCGCGATAGTGCTGTCCCGCTTGCGCCAGAGTGACGCGCGGCCTCGTTGCGGCGTGTCTGGCGGGCTCAGGCAGCTAATCGCCACATTGCATTCCGACGCCGCAACATCAAACCAACACCAACTGCCGTTTCCGGAATACGACTATACTGAGGCATGGATGACATGCGTGCGGTAATTCTAACTACTGCGAATGATTTCGAAATTTTGTAGCTTGGCTCTCGGTTTGAGCGCTGGCGCACATCGGCATGTTGGGAAAGCCCGCCTTGCTTGACATCGTTTGAAGGCCCAACCCATCAAACTGCTGCTGTACAAAGTAACACACTGCAAAGGCAGGCAGCCAAGAACTGCCCTCACCCGACCCTGACATTCCCAACATCAAAAGGTAAGAAGAGCAAGGTGCTCTCACCCTTTCTGACCGCGAAAAAAGAAGCCATGCATAACATTTGCGCACTGCTCTCTAGCCAAAAAAAGCCGAACTCCAAGTGGAGGCACCGCCGAAACCTTGGACTAGAGACACGAAAAGAAAGCCATTCGAAAGCGTAATGTCCTCTTTTTATTTTACTCGGTTTCTCTCTCTCTTTTTTTTTTATTTTCTTTATCTTTTCTCTTTTCTTTATTTTCCTCGACTCTCGAGTTCGGCTTTTTTTGGCCAGAGTGTGCGCACCCAAAGACTCCCTCGTCGCTCCACGGCTTGGCACGAAAACAGGAATATCGAGCGCATATCAAGGCCGCTCTGGCATGTTGCGCCGTGTCAGTAACCGGGCGCATGGCGACCGTGCCTGTGTTCAGGGGGTGGAAGGGCTCGACGCCACCCCCATGACGGAAGTATCTGTACTTGGGACGGAGCGGAAATGGGGTGTGCCCCGTGCAGCTGTGTGGCCCGTGTGGCTTCAGGTTCGACCAACCCGATGCACAACACTTCCCGTCCAACACCCAGCCTTGTCTGTGAGTCATCTTCTATCCTCACTCATAAATTCTTGATTTCAGCAATGAAAGCATAAAGATGCATCGCCGCCGGTAACCGCAAGCGCCAGACGCTTCGTGAAGGCGAGGGTTGAAATAACGCTCTCCTCCGTCGCAGTTTGCCGCGCCGCGAGGGGGAAAAGCGGGCACATGCGATTGCGCGATTGCCACCAACGCCCGGCTGGTACGGCTGGGTTGTGAGTCGGCCGCTCCCTCCCTTCGTCCTGCCCAACCCATGAAGTTCGGTTGCGGCCGTGCCCCCTCCCAAACATGAGGAGGTTGCCGACCCAACCATGCACTCACGAGGCGGGGTCCAACCAGCCTGGAACAAAAGCGGGAGGGGTGCATAAAGTGCTGAAGTGCCGCGGCCCATGAGGCGCGGGGCATCCTAGCGCTTAAGACTCGCGGCTATGAATATCGCTTCGCCTGCGAACGTAGAAAAAAGCCCGTGCAAAGTATCTATAACTAGAGATACGCGAAGGCATCTCCAACAGAAAGCCCAAGTGGCCTTGAAAACCACAGGGAGTACGAGTCTTTCGTTGCGCTCGCTCGACGATGACCCCTCAGTCGTTCTCCTTTTCCTTGAGAGAGAGATGACCAAGGCCGCCCGCGTTGGCGCATGGCGTGACCTGATTGGTCCATGCGGCCTTTTCTTCATTTCCGCGCAGCAGCGCGTCCACTGGGACGCGCTCCTCTCGTGACGATATCGCGATGTTCTCGGCTGCTAACTGCTAGCTACTCGTCTAGAACTGCCCTCGCGTTGCTCATGGATGATGGAGACACCTCATTTTTATATCGCCCTCCTCCCCCACAAACTCTCTCACCACACATATAACGCCAACAACAGCAAGTCGCTGCGCCACACTTTCTTTCCCCTCCATCGCTCAGCCACATATCTGTGTCACCTCGATGCATACAGAGAAGTAGATGTATTTCAGGGCGGCGTGCAACTTCACCTACCCCTTATTCGGCGACACATAGGTATCTGACAGCCCAGCCGAGCAAACTTCGAACTTCTCTCTCTATTCGAATCCCATAAACGCTCATATAACAATGCCCGCCCAAAAGAATAACCCAACCCAGGCGCGAAACATGCGCCCCGGTCAGTCTAACGCGACAAATAGGACATCCCAAGAACACCATTGCATCCTTTCCTGCCTATCTATCGATGCATGCATGCGCGTTTGGTACATGTGGTAGGAAGACAAGAATAACCCACACACCAGATCATCACAACGCCCGCTCAGGCTCAGGCTCAGGCTCAGGTCATGTAATATTTCGGACCCTCGCCGCCCTGGGGGACCTGCCAGTTGATGTCCTGGTTAGGTGCCTTGATGTCGCACGTCTTGCAGTGGATGCAGCTAGGGGTTTCGTTAGTGCCGATCCCGGCGTGATAATGTCGGAAGAACAGAGGGGCTGAAAGAAAAAGGAGGGAGGGGAGAAGGATGGGGATATGAAAACTCACTTTTGCGCGTTGATCTGGAAGCGCACGCCCTCCGGCTTGGACGCGTCCTCGACGTACTCATACACGCCCGCCGGGCAGAACCTGTTCTCGACGCCCTTGAAGGCGGGCCAGGTCTCGGCGGTGTGCTTGTCCCAGTCCTTGACCTGCAGGTGCACGGGCTGGTCCTCCTCGTGGTTGGTGCCGGTGCGCGAGACGCTGGTGAGGATGTCGAAGGTGAGCTTGCCGTCGGGCTTGGGGTACTCGATCTTGGGACAGTCGTCGGCCTTCTTGGTGGCGGCGTGGTCGGGGGTGCCGTGGCGCAGCGTCCAGGGCACGCGGCCCTTGAGCACGAAGGCCTCGAGGCCCGAGTACAGCATGCCGCCGTACAGGCCGAGCGGGGTGTGGAAGGACGGCCGCATGTTGCGCACCTCCTTGAGCTCCTTCCAGACGGACGACTTGCGGAGGGACTCCTCGTACTCGTACAGGAAGACGGCGCCGGCGTCGCTGCTCTCCCGCAGCGCGTTCCAGGCCGCCTCCGCGGCGAGCATGCCCGACTTCATGGCGCTGTGCGTGCCCTTGATCTTGGGTACGTTCACAAACCCGGCTGAGTCGCCGATTAGCGCGCCGCCGGGGAAGGCGACCTTGGGGATCGACTGGAAGCCGCCCTCGATGAGGGCGCGCGCGCCGTACGAGATGCACTTGCCACCTTCGAGTACCTCGCGGTACAGCGGGTGCTGCTTCAGCTTTTGGAACTCGCCGTAGGGAGACAGCCACGGGTTGGAGTAGTCGAGCGCGACGACGTGGCCGATGCTGACAAGGTTGTCGCCAAAGTGGTACATCCATGCGCCGCCGTATGTGTCGTAGGAGAGCGGAAAGCCCATCGAGTGGGTGACCTCGCCCTTCCTGAACTTCTCCGGCTGCACCTCCCACACCTCCTTGACTCCCAGCGCATACGTCTGGTGCTGGCTCTCGCGGCGCAGCTCGAACTTCTTGATGACCTGCTTGCTCAGGCTCCCGTGGCAACCCTCACCGAAGAGCGTGACGCGCGCGTGGAACTCCATGCCCCGTTCGAACGTATCCTTGGGTTTCCCGCTGCGTGCGATGCCCAGGTCGTTCGTTGCCACGCCCTTAACACTTCCGTCCGGCCCGAACAGCACCTCGCTAGCAGCGAACCCGGGGTATACCTCGACGCCGACCTCCTCGGCGCGCTCGCCAAGCCATTTTGTGAATTCGTTCAGACTGAGGATGTAGTTCCCATGGTTGCTCATCTGCGGCGGTTTCGGCAAGGGGATCGACGACTTCTCGGTGAGGAAGCGCATGCGATCCTTAGTCGCGGGCGTCGCGCCGGTGAAACGGTTCTCGTTCGCCTCGTCAAGCCAATCCGGGATGAGCTCGTTGATCGCAGTCGGCTGGACCACGGCGCCTGAGAGGACATGCGCGCCGAGCTCCCCGGCCTTCTCGAGCAGCAGCACCCGGAAGTCCTCGTTGCCCGCCTCGTTGGCCAGCTGCTTCAGACGGATGGCAGCCGAGAGGCCGGCGGGGCCGCCGCCGATAATGCAGACATCCACCTCGTCGCTCTCGCGGTCAATGCTGGCTGGGTCGAACGAGTCGTCGGCTTTGGCGTATAGACGGGCTGAGGTAGTTGACAGACACCTCCGAGTCGTTTGCGCAGCAAGGGAGCTGCCGTATGTCGCGCGGACGCCAGGACGCCGTAACCGGCCAGTAGCAGCCGAAGACAGGCTCCTGATATCGCGTGCCTTCTGGAACTGGGCTGTTGGCAGTGGTGAGGGGGCTGCCGCGGCCCTCCGGCAGAGGTTTGTTGTGAGACGTGCAGAGGCCGACATCGTTGCTGCACGCCGAAAATGGAGGTGACTCAAAAAAAAGAGAGGAAAGGAATTGGCCGCCCCGCGATGGAGGGGGTTGGAGGAGACGAAGTACAAGCAAAAGTAACTTGACTTGACAATCGCACTCACAGAACCCTGACTCGCATAAATCTATCGAGGTTTCAGGCCCCGTATGGAAGGAAACCTTTTCTACTTTGCTCCAATTCCTCGGGTTCCTTCTTCTCAATGCTATAATGACGTTTCTTCCAACAACAAGCGGCCAATTGACTTTTTGGCATTTGAAGATGGGTCTGTGCGCTCTCCGAAGCGGAGCTGGAGAGTGAAACTTGGCCCCCGCTTACCCGAGGAAAGCCGAGTCAGTTCAATTCATTGTTTTGTCTCCACCATGTCTTCGGTCTTGTGACATCGTGGGTTGCCATCTTGAGCCGAGCGGGTGTGCGGTTGAATAGGTACGCAGTAAGGGCCTGGTCTCGACTGTCCAATGGGACAGCCAGTGGTACGAGGGATGAGACAATGGAGGTTCAAATGAGGAATTATATGGGAAAAGGCTCGCTCTCCTCATCCGTCCATCCATCCATCCATCTAGATTCTAACATTACGGACTTGGTTGTCCGTGCCTCAAGCTGACTCCTCCTGTACTACTTCAGCTCATGACCGCTTCCGGTTCTTCGACACATCGACAGACGTCGAGCCGGTGACGTTCTGTTCTGGGATTTGGTACTGCACATCCCTCTGTTGTCTTTTGACCATGGCCCAAAAATCGTAGCTTTGGTCATCCAATGCCATCTTCGCCTCCCTATGCCGCCTCTTCTTTTCTTCTCTCCTTATTCTCTTGGCCTCTTTCCTCGAGGTTGGCTCCAGCCTCTCGGAATAGACGTTCTTGATCACCTTCCACGACGTCTTGATCCCCTTGTACGTCGCCTTGAAGGTGCTCTGCACACGCCAACTAAAGGCCGCCACCAATGACACGATGATCAGCAAGATGGACGCCGGGAGGGAGATGGCGCCAATTTCCTTCAAACTTGGAATATCCTCCTCTTGCCACTCGATTGTGTTCATACCAAACAATCCGGTGAAAAAGGTTAGGGGAAGGAAAATGACGGTGAACGTTGTGAAGATCATGACCGAGAGGTTCTGGCTCGATGCCAGCTCGGCTTGCAGACGCGACCAGCGGACCTCGTCGACCTGCGCCTGGCGCTGGACCATCTCTAACATCTTCTCGTACTAAACAAATTCGTTAGTTCGTGTCTGGTTGATGGCTGAGGGTTGATGCCTTCTGAGGGTTGACCTACGTCGTTTCTCGTGGTGTCTACCCTCTTCAGCATCTCAACAGTCTGCTGCTTGTAGTCGTCGAGGTATTCAAGCGCCTCTTCCAAATAGTCCTGTCCGTTTTTGGTGCTATCTTTGAAGTCCTTGCTCGTATAGATCTCCTTCATTTGGCGGATTGTGGAGTCTTGCATCTCGAACAGCTTTTGGAGCGTCGATAACTCGTCCTCCAGGTCGCGCAACTCCAACAGGGCCGACGTGTTTTCTCTATTTTCACGCTCAGACCGTTCCAGTTCGCGCCTGTGTCGCTTTTTGATCGCCGTCGGACTCTCCCCTTCGGCGTCTGACTCATCTGACTCGTCTTCATCGTCTGGCTCCATGTCAAGGGCGTTGATCCGGAATTGCTTCATGTTGAGCGTCATCCTCTCGGCCTGTCGCATGTGTTAGCATCTGCCTTTACGTTTGACACCGATTAGGTAGTTTCAAACATACCAGCATTCCGATGGCCTCGTCAAAGACACGGAATATCTCAAGGTCGGGGTGCGAGGATCGGTCAAGGAGGACAGTGACGGCATGCCATACGATCAACGCCGCAAGGTCTAGCGTGTTCTCTGTTCTTCCTGTCAGGTCGCCGTTGAGCTCGTTGTAGACGCTGCTCCGCAAGTCTGCCTGCTGGAAAAGGGTTCCTTCCGTAGGGTTAGATTCCCGCCTGGAGAAGAAAGTCACCAGCGTAGCTACCGAAGGTCAGCATTTGAGTTATGGGTTCTAGGCAAGCCAAGCCAAGCTTACTCATATCAATGGACCAGAGCCATAGTTGATCAACCATCAAAACATGGCCATCCTTCAGTTCGGACCCCGGTTCGACGCCGAACTCGACGTCCGTGCCGTCGTATAGGCTCGAAGTAGAGCCCTTAGCTGAAGGCATGGAGCGCCCGCCCGATGACTGCGTAGAGCCAAGGTTTGCCATGCGTCTCCATGGCGCCGGGGTGTCCTTTTTGGTGAGTTTATACAGCATCTGGTCATCGTCCCGCGAATTGGTATCCCTGAGAGAGTGATGGCCAAATTGGTCCAGGGTTCGACGGCAATTTAGAGGGGGGTCGAAACCGATGTACTCCCAAATCACCTTGAGTTCAAGAGATTCCTGCTCAACCCACCGAGGGACTGGCTTGGCTCGCCCATGACATCGGCGCTTCATAACTAACTTTCGGCGTCGGATCATGCTTTGGTATGTGTCGAAGTGGAGATAGGGGAGGTAAAGATAAAGACAATTGGGGGTGATGCCCATGTTGACGGGGCCAAATAAAGGCGATGGGATCCGCGGAGAATTTAGACGGTCCGCAGCGGAGAGATATTTGCATATCGCTTTGAGATACGCTGGTTGGGATTCTGAATTGCGGTTTTGAATCTGTTTGGACGTCCAGTTATCATAGTCGAAAAGCCGCGAGAAATCTAGCCCCTGGGTCTTTCCCAAAGTTGCAAAGATTTCCTACCCGGAATGGTTAGCATCTGGACTGCGCAAAAAACTTTTGGAATCGTGTTATCAGTGTCATCATACCTTGACCCAGACTGGGTTGTTGAATGGCATGTGAATCCACGAAAACTTCTTCAATGACGGGCTGGGCCGCAGGAAGCCGGCCGTGGCGGTCAGGCCATGTTGTTTCACCAACGACTTTGCTTGCTGCTGAGCGAGCAAGTCGATGGTATGGGCATCTTCCCCTGTAAAGTCGCTGCTAAACGGCAGCGTCAGGGTTGGCTCTGACATGGTGGTGCTGACACTGGCGATGCTGTCCGGACTGGGGGGACGAAAAGTAGGCTCTGACTGAGCTGGTACCTTCAGCAGCGGTGGCCTCTCTGTGGGGGTTGTGATGATGATATTTGGCGACAAAGTCGTTGTCGTGCTTTGCGATGCGTCGGTCGTCTGGCTGCGAAGGCCAAGGCCGGCCCCTTCCCCCTTCGAGTCGCTAGCCGATGGCTCTGTTTCAGAACGGCCGCTGACGCTGCGCTTGCTGGACCGCCTCTTGGGTCCTTTATGGAGCCGTTCTGCTAAGCAGCGGTCTGGTCCCTTCTTGATGAACTCCTTATAAGAATGCTTTGTAGAATACAGGCGGATCATAGAGCCAGTCTCCCCGCCCTGTTGCTGCCGAGGCGATGCCATCATGGCCTCCGGGTCCTCGTAGAAGCCGATAACCTCAACCTTGACCAGTGACTTTAAATGCAGCGGTGTGTGGCGGTGGGCGTGGTTGAGCTGCGCTGCCTTTTTGATGGCCTGAGCGAAATCCGCAAGGTACGACTCCATGATGCGGGAATTGCTCGGTCCAAACGAAGCGAGGTGGGCGTGGTCACTGTCGACGGCGTACACGTCTTCTTGCCATACTTCAAGGAGTGCCGACTTCACCGATACCAGAGGGGCACCGAACTGAACATCGCTCGGAAAGCCGGCAGCGGAACCAGACAACGTGGACTCTTGGGTCTCGTAAAAGGACCAAAGACGAAACTCGCTCGCCATATCTACAAACTCGTCGTGTAGTGCGATGAGATCCAGGTTACGGACGTTGATTTCATCGGTCAGGGATCGAGGGAGCGTCCTCTGCAGCTGGAGGAGATCCTGGATGCTCTCCTTGAGGTTGGTCATGGACATGTAGCTAGATCCCTGGTGCGGTGTGCCTTTTGCGGTCAGTTAATACATTCTCGCCCTTTGCGGTGGACTCGCTCACCGAAAAAGGTAACCCCGTGGCAATTATCTACTATCGCCTGGTACTGGGAGCTGTGATTTGCCTTAACCAGCGCATATTTGACAACTAAGCCACCGATGCTGTGGCCGATGAAAAACAGGGGGCGCGCGACCTAACCTAGATCAACATAAAAACCCAACGGAGCAGGAAAACAGGCAAACGCACCGCCCCGTCACGTATCCGTTCCACCTGGTCTAGCAAGTCTGTCGCCAAGGATTTCAGGGTCATGCCGTCCTCCAAAACGCGATGTCGGTAGAGAGACACTCGGGCGATGCTGGCGGCCATACGCAAATTCTTTGTGACCCAGGGGCCAGGCCTACGCGACGAGCTACGTGATCCCATCTCACCTGGGGCGCTGGCGTCGCCGGACGTTTCATGGCCAAAAGTCCAGGTATTTATCGGATCGGCACCTGGGCAGGGCACTGCAATAACATCGACCACCGTTTCGTTATGACCGGAGCCACCCACGTCGCCGTTGACATCCACGAACCCGGGACCCAAGTCGGCGGGCAAGACGTCCGGAGCAGGCTCACCGCCCAGGCTCTCCCAAGCCTGGCCTTCCCGTTTCTCACGCACAGCATCATCCTGAGAAGGAGGCGCTGAGGAGAAATCCCTGATTTGGATGTGCGCAGTGGCGGTGGCATCAGATATGACTTCCGTAGTCTGGGGGTTGTCCGTTGGAACGAGGTCAGCCTCGTGTGTTGAGTTCTTGGAGTTGCCGTCTCTCTCCATCGATCTCGTTGGCCGCCTGAGCAGAGGTGACGCTGTTCAAGGCCGGCCGCCGTTGAAGGGCGAGGTAAGGTCTGGCTGCAGTCAAAACGTCCATAAACCTTGGAGAAGAAGTAAGGAAAAAAGCGCTCAACCCAGACCCCGTGCCCTCGAGATTTCCGTGTTGCCAAGGTCAGGCTCAGGAAGCGGGACGCGGGAAGACGCACGCGATTGATCCCATGCTGCTGCGAGGGCCGAACCATCGTCCCGAAAGGCTCCTTTTCCGCCCCCAGATTTCGAGATTATTCATGGGTCTTGGAGGCTGGGGTGTACAGTCAGGGGTCCTCGATTGGTTGCTGTTCAGGCCCCGAGGCCAAGGATGGGCAAATGGGGTGCGCTAAGATCAAACAAGCAGCAGTTGGATGCGAGCCTACAGGCTGATCCAACACCATTCTGGGTGAAAGGCATCCAGCAGCGTCAGCCAGCCTGATGTGTGTGCCTGGGATGAATTACGGGTCATCACGGGTCTTGCATTCGAAGCAAGCTTTCCTGTGGATGTGGAGGGAGTTGATCGGCCAGGCGTGGGGCATGAAGATTGTCGTGCAGTGGAGGATGCTGACTTGCTCTGACTTGCTTGGCTGCGTGTCAACAACCTAAAGTCGGGGCAACAAAAGAAAAAGACAAGGCATTTCCCAACTTGGAATGAGGAAGAAGTGCAAAATAGGTAGGTAAGTCGTGGGCTTGGCAACAACTATTTTTCGTAGCTCGGGCGTGCTCATTGATTGTACGGTGATCTGATTGATGATTCAACAATTTCCCTGTCTTTTGGGAACGGTAGAAGGTAGGCGGTCATTGCCCTAGCTTACAATGCACAAAAACTTTGGATGACCCGACAACCTTAAAAAAATTCCATCCATTGTCAAGATGGGAATGCAGAACCTCCTCCTCCATTGATGAGCAACTGCCTTGTGGAAGGAACCTGGAAGTCACGAGTAGGCCAAGAATCTGGCCCGTGCGCACTCTCATGCCCCTCCCCGCAGAGGGCGAACCCGCCAAAATCGACTCGCCAAAATGGCACTGAGAGAAACTCAGCATTCACGTTTCAGCACGGACCACACACAGCCCACCGAGCGGGCCAGCCTGGCTAAGCTCCAGTGACCGACCTATTTCTTTCCATTCGACTTCTGACGGCGAAAAAAGCACTTCCTCACAGCCAGCCCCAGACTACCAATTCAGCAAAGCTCGTGACTATATCGACTGCTCCATCGAATACGGACTGACCGACAGCAACTGCCAGTCCATGTCGCATCTGCAACCCGCCGTCCCAAGCAAGCGCACCGAAGTCATCTCCATCCCTCGCGACCAAGCAAGTCGATCTGTCTCCGAGGCCTCGTCTCCATTCCCGGCCCAATAAAGAAAGAGGAAAGTGACTCTATCCGCCAGGGGATAGTAGTGTCACCCTTCCCTCCTTTTCCTCGCCCCCATAATCCATGGTCGCCCAACCCAGACCGGGAACCTTCTCGCCGAGCCCAGCAGCGCACCCCATCTACACTGGCATCGCCCACTCCCCACATCCTTCTCACGCCGCTGCGCTGAGTGCGGCTGCTAGCCCCAGTACCAGCAGCCCCACCGGGTCCAACTCCTTGACCAAGATCGCAGTCGCCCAGGTCTACCTGCTTCTCAGCACCATCAAGGAGGACAAGGAAGATCCTCACAAGTGGGAGTCGCAACTAGAGTCTCTGCGGAAGGTAATGCAAATTATGGCATGTGGCATGTGGCGTGTGGCATATGGCCTGACGCCCCATTGTCGGGTAGCCCCACCGCATATGATATCCCCAACTCGCTGACATCACTCTTCTCTCGCACTAGCTACTCGATGAACACGGCATGGATGTGTTTACAAAATACTTCGCGCGACTGGTGGCCGCAAATGCCTCTCAGATATTCCCCAGCCTCAACAGATCCGGGGCGGCAAACATGCAGGGGTCGAACCCGGGGAACCATCACATCCTCAAAGCCGAGATGCGAAAGCTGTCGCGAGAATTCCCCCAGGCCAGGAAGATTGCAGAGTCTATCGAAACCGGCAGCGAGGACATCTTCCGCGATTTCGACCTCTCCGGCTTCATGGAACATTTCCAACTAGATGCTTTGGGGAAGACAGTCTTGGCTCTCGCTTTCAAGCTCGGGCCTAGGTCCGATCTGAAGACCAAAGGTGAGCTGTCTACCACCCGCCACTCATGGACCGCTTGCGACCGCTGCTGACAAGTGCCCTTCTCCTCAGCCGATGCCATCCTGTCGACGAACTTCCCGACCTTCGTTAATATTCTGAGCCGGCCAACCGGTGACCCCACTACTGACCTAGAGCCCGATTTCGTCGCCGAGCTCGTCGACCGCTTCATCCAAGTCCACCCCCCGAATTTCAATGCCGCTGCGAAGCGAGAATTGGAACACAAGGTGCAACATAGATATGCCCAGTCTCCTGACGCGAAGCCGCCGCCCTCACAAGTGCTCGCCGCACTCGACCTCGTACGCATGCTGGCCGACAAACCGGTCAACGCGCTGGCCCTCTATATCCATCGCTCCGGTCTAGTATTCACCCGAGATGAGGAGTCGTGTACGGGATATCTTCAAAACCATCCGACGAACGTCCACTTCAGCGAGGAACAGGTATCCGTGTCATTGATGTACACGACCATCAGCCAGACCCCGCGCCACAACCCTTCCGTTCTCGTCGCCTCTCTCAGGCGCATCCTGCCTGACAGCTTCAGGTGGCAAGAGGTGGTGTCGTACTTCGACCACAGCGGGGCTCGGGTCACATCGGCCCAATTTCTACGTCTGTACAACGCCCTGCTACCGATAGCACGGGAGGACAGTGATCGGTTCAACATCCAGCAACTGTGGGGTGGGGAGTGGGAGAACCCCGAAACACAGCTCTCCTTCATTTGCGCTTTCGCATCCCTCAAACCGGAACAGCTCGATGCAACGACCGTCCCCGGGCTAAAGCCGACCTTCACGGTCCAAGAGTACGCGCAGTCCCCTCTTCCGATACAAGAAACGGCAGCCTACGCAGTTAAGCACCCACTGGTCTCTGAGGCGGCCCTCTCTGCCGTCTTCAACGTTGCGCTCCACTCGATGCACGCCTCTCAGAGCATCGAAGCGAAGCGCCTCTTTCAAGACGTCGTTGTGCCCAATTTAGCCATCTTTGTTGTCTCGGCTTTCGGAGTGCCGAAGCCCTGGCCAAGCATGGCCGAGGATACGCTCGTTTCCCTCTTCGATAACTTTCTAACCAGGTCGCCTGAAGCCGACTTCGTCATGGATAGCCTCTGGAGGAGAGACAAGGAGTGGGTCAAGCAGCGGTTAATCGATGCGCACGCCCTGAAGCCCATCAGCCTACCGCTCATCTTTGAGCATGCGGTCCGCCAAAACTGGCTTGACGAGCTCGTCTACTTACCCATCGGCTTCGGACTTGACTTGACTGCCTTGGCCCATGCTGAAGGGTACCTCGATCTACAGCAGTGGGCTCGGCGGAACGCTGACAGGAGCCCCGAAATGGCCAGAGCCCTTCTGCAATTTTTGGTGATCAAGGCGAACTTCGAGCTGCAATACCAGCGGCCCCCGGAAGGCCAACCTCCCGTCAAGGCGAGCACAACGTTGCAAGTCCGAACGGTCCATGCGCTACTGCAAATATTGGAGGAGTTCTTACCCAAGTCGCCGATGCAAGAGCTGATCGTCGTTCAACGAACCTGCATCACTGTGTATCCAAGGCTCATCAACTACGGGGAAGGCTTCGACGACATCATCGACGCGAACGGGCGTGATGGGAACGCACTGCCGCTGGCCGCCAATGCCAAAATGGAAGAACATTACAAGAAGATGTATGGCGATGAGATTCAGGTCCGCAACGTCGTCGAAATCTTGGAGCGGTACAAGCGATCTCGCGACCCCTTGGACCAGGACATCTTCGCGTGCATGATACACGGCCTTTTCGACGAGTACGCGCACTATGTCGACTACCCGCTCGAAGCACTCGCTACCACCGCGGTCCTGTTTGGCGGTATCATATCTCACAAGCTGATTTCTGATCTCCCGCTCCAGATCGGGCTGGGCATGATTCTCGAAGCGGTCCGAGACCACCATCCCGATGAGTCCATGTACAAGTTTGGTTTGCAGGCTCTCATGCAACTTTTCGGTCGCCTGCGTGAGTGGCCAGGTTTCTGTGCGCAGCTCCTCCAAATCCCCGGCCTGCAGGGCACTGAGGCGTGGAAGAAGGCGGAAGAAGTAGCCCAGGAGCACGACGAGGAGCTCGCTCGGTCTCGCAACGGCACCAACCTATCCAATTCAGGGGTTCTCCGCCATGACAGCCTGACAAACGGCAACCTAGAAGACGGCATAGGGTCGGAACAGCACCCACCGCCTTTCGCCTCGGTCAACGTGGACCCGCCTCCGCTGGGCGTTGTCTATGAGGAACCTAGCGAAGACGAGCAAGGGAAGATCCAGTTCGTGCTCAACAACCTAACCGATACCACGTTGCAGTCCATGTTCGAGGATATCCACGAGATGCTAGAAACAAGGCATCAGCAGTGGTTCGCCAGTCACTTGGTCGAAGAGCGGGCGAAGATGCAGCCAAACTACCATCACGTCTACCTTGAACTCGTCAAGCAGTTCAAGGACAAGGCGCTTTGGGCAGAGGTCCAGCGAGAGACCTACATAAGCGTGTCGCGCATGTTGAACTCGGAGCTCACCATGCAGAATTCCACCGAACGGACGCATCTTAAGAACCTCGGCGGTTGGCTCGGACTTTTGACCCTGGCACGCGACAAACCAATCAAGCACAGACATATCGCGTTCAAGCAGCTTCTCATTGAGGCTCATGATACCAAGCGCCTCATCGTCGTCATCCCATTCGTATGCAAAGTCCTGATTCAGGGTGCCTCGTCAAACGTCTTTAAACCGCCCAATCCTTGGCTGATGGATATTATCCATCTCCTGATTGAGCTCTACCACAACGCCGAGCTGAAGTTGAACCTCAAGTTTGAGATTGAAGTTCTTTGCAAGGGTCTCAACCTAGACCACAAAGCCATCGAGCCCTCCGGAGAGATCCTCAATAGGGCTCCCATCGAAGAACTGGGCGACATGCTCGGGCCGGAGGCGCTCGAGAACTTTGAAAGCCTCTCCCTCAATGGCATGCCCGGAGTCAACAGCTCCCTCTCATCTCATCCCGCCTATACCATACCGGATCTTGGTCCAAACCTATCGATTCCTCAGACCGAGGTCGTCAGCGCTGCCAAGCTGCATGACATTGTGCGACAAGCCTTGACGCGCGCGTTGCAGGATATTATCCAGCCCGTCGTTGATCGTTCAGTCACGATTGCGGCGATATCGACGCATCAAATGGTCCGCAAGGACTTCGCCACGGAACCAGATGAGAATAAGGTACGGACATCGGCAATTAATATGGTCAAGTCTACCGCCGGTAGCCTGGCGCTCGTCACGTCCAAGGAGCCGTTGCGCGCGAACCTCGCCAACTACTTGCGTAATCTCTCCGCCGATTTACCCCAGGGGCTGCCCGAGGGCATAATCATGCTGTGTGTCAACTCTAACCTTGACCTGGCCTCGAGCATCATCGAGAAGTGCGCCGAGGAGCGTGCTATTCCGGAGATCGAAGACTTGATGGAGGTTGAACTGGAGGCGCGACGGCGCCATCGGGCCCAACGGCCCTCTGACCCCTACGTCGACCACGGGTTGAGCCGCTGGGCAATGACCATCCCCCACCCCTTCAAGCTACAGCCTAACCTCACCGGCCTCAATGCCGAGCAGATGGCCATCTATGACGATTTCGCTCGCCAGTCAAGGGTGATTCCTGCGGCGACAGGCCCCTCGCACGGGCCATCTGCGTCGGATACTCGGTCTCTGGCGAACGAGGCGCTCGGCGATCAGTACAACACCGTCAGCAACATGCCAACGCCCGCCGAAACGCCATCCATGCCTCTTTTAGGAGTACAACTGCAACACTATCCCCAGACACACGCCGGGCTCGCCAATGGCCGGCAGGCAGGAATCAACCAGGTCGACTCTCGGAGCATTGCCGAGAGGGTCAACAAGCTACTAGAACAGCTGACAGCGGCCGCGACGAACACCACCGAAGATCATTTCGACGAACTTCCCCGGTCGCACCCAGTCCTAGACATCGTCGACGCTCTTGTCCAGCTCATCATCAAGACCCAACAGACCTCAGAGGAGTTTGCCGCCTATGCCGCGAATCAGATCTCTCAGCTCCTCTTCCGCCAACCCGAGGGTGACCTGCTCCTGGAGAGCTTGGTACATGTTCTGGAAACCCTTCGAAAGATTGCCGGCCCCGTTATCAGCGAACAGATCCGCCAGTTATTCCACCAACAACCGGGGCAGTTCTTCCTCAACCTGCCCCTCATTACCGCGTTGCTCCGGACCGACCTTATCGATTGGAGGAGCATCGACGCTGCCACAGCAAAGCTTCTGCAACAGCGCAAGGAAGGGTCGTTGACGTTTTTGGAGCATGTCTTGGACCTTACGCTCCTAACTGACACCCCGCTAGCTCTATTTGCTGACTTTGTGCGAAGTCTGGAGGAGGCATGGACGTGGATCACAGAGGAGCCAGAAGTTCCTGGCGGAGCCCGCTTCAAGGCCAAGGTGCTAGCCCCACCACCAGATCTCCCCGTCGGCTTGAGCAACGAGGAACGAGACGCGATCCAATTGGATCAGATGGATTACGTCTTTGAAGAATGGACTCATCTCTGCAACAACCACTTTGCGACCGAGAAGTCCACTTCCATCTTTGTCCAGCAGCTGCGCTCTCGCCGTCTGGTTAGCAAGCCCGACGACTTCTTCCTCTTCACTCGGCAAGCCCTCGACAAGTCTGTTGAGCGGTTTGACCAAACCTGTTTGTCTGGAGGTAGCGTGACGGAAGGTTACCATGCTATTGAAGCGCTGGTCAAATTGGTCATGGTCTTCGTCAAGTCCCACGAGGACGACGACCAATTGACCGCTGTGTCGTTCTTGGACTCGGCCTTAGCTCTCTGTGTGCTGGTGCTGAACTATCATCACCTCAAGCGCGGGGAGAATTTCAACCAACGGGTCTTCTTCCGGTTCTTCGCGCTCATCATGCACGAGCTGGCGGATTTGGTCGGGCATCTTCCCGAGAGCGACTACCACCAAGCCATCCAAAAGGTTGCGGCACGCCTGTACGACCTCCGACCGGCCGTGTACCCAGGATTCCTCTTTGGTTGGCCGGATCTGCTGACGCACCGTAACTTCATGCCCGTGATCCTACGCCTACCCGATGGAGCGGGATGGGCACCATTCACAAAGCTGCTTACCCAGTTCTTTGAGTATGTGGCCAACCTTCTAAAGCCGCTCGACGTGCCGCCTCTAGGCAAAATCATGTACCAAGGGGTGTTGAGATTGCTGGGCATCCTCCACCACGATTTCCCCGAGTACCTTGCTGCAAACCACGCAGAGCTGTGCCGGAGCCTGCCACCGCACACGACACAAATTACCAATTTCATTCTTGCCGCCACCCCGGCCACGGTTAACAAGCTCCCTGAGCCCCTTCAACCGGGGCTCAAGGTAGACAGGCTTCCCGAGATGAGGGAGCCCTGTTTGACCTTGTTTGACTCGGCCGGCGTACTTCGCGACATTGGGCTGCTCCACATCCTAGAGCACGCGCTGCAAAATGGCCCGTCGGAAGATGCGATTGCCCAGATCAGCCACGCCATCAACAAGGTTGAAGAGGAGGAGACCATGTTCGGTTTCGTCCCGATTCCGGTGAATCGGAAGGTCATCGATGCGGTGGTTGCCCAATTCGCTCACTTTGCCGTCACCCGCGCGGGCACCAAGAGCGAGTCAACCATCTTTGTGTCTGGTGCATCGGACTTCAAGACGCTGCACATGCTCATCAGCGAGATATCTCCCGAAGCGAGATACCATCTCCTCTACAGCATGGTGAACGAGCTAAGGTTCCCGAACGCGTCGACCAACTACTTCAGTCAGGCGCTCCTCGAACTATTTGGGCAGAACATGTCAGACCCGGAGGGGGCGGATATCTGCCAGCAGATCGCGCGCGTCCTGCTCGAGAGGATCATGGGGTTCTTGCCACATCCGTGGGGCGTAATGGTCACCACGCTCGAATTGATCAAGAATGAGAAGTACAACTTCTTTGAGTTGGGATTTATCAAAGCAGTGCCGGAGGTATGTTTCCGTGTCTTGCTTCCTTGTCTACTTGATAGACTAACCATGATGGAATAGGTCGGTCAGCGGTTTGCTGAGCTCATCCGCTCCGCGTAAGCGGGAGATGCAGTCAAACATCGCGACAGAGCGTTGTGATGAGTGTTCAAGGCGGGCACGAAGATGTCCGGATGTATTATGCTGCCACCGGCGAGAACACGGGGAAAGCACCCCAGTCAACGAACGGCCCGAAGGGCGAAAGGGCCGTGGATATGAAAACCAATCAGATGGTCTATGTATTTATATGAAGCCGCCTTGTGTCTAACGCGCGCTTAGACGACGTATAGCATGGGAAGGCGTTATGGGGGGAGAGGGAATTTGTATTCTGCGTTCTATCGATGTGCTTATATGAAACAGGAAGCACAACTCAAGTATCTCGATGATTCGACCAAATCTTTATAATCGACCAAGTATGTGGAGCGAGTTCCGTGTTGCAAACTGGCAAGCAAAGTAGATTTCTGTCCACTGGTATGTCCTGGTAAAACCAACATGTAGCTCATGATTTGTTGGTTTGTTGGTAAGCGGTGTTCCCCCTCAGCTGAAACCTCGTTCTGGTTCCCAAGCCAGCCTCCTCTTTCTTTTTTTTTTCGGATAGCCCCTTTCCCTTGCGTCTTTGCCACCTTTTTTGCTTCTTTAGCGGGGGACCGCGGGGATGAAGAAGCGATCCCCGCCCCCGGACGCCGATCACGAGTTCACAGGATTCCAAAAGGAGGGGAAGAAGCAGCAAAATGACGTCGATATTCAACGAGGCTTGGTTTAGTGAATTTTGAGGGGCCTGGACGCCATCGATCGTGCGTATCCTTGTCCGAAGGCAAGAGTGGCTGGGAATTCCGGCTTGGAGGAGGCGGGGTTTGTTATACTTGTATACTACGTAGTTAGGTAGACATGTCCGAGATGTGGACTGACTTGGATGGCATTTGGGCGTACCGTGACGTGGTGCGAGGAGTTTTGTTTGAATTTTACTTTGGGATACCAGGTTAAGTTATTGTGACACAAGACGGTCCGAGTGTTATGATTCAAAAATGAAATGTGATGAGAATTTGTTTTCCTTCCTGGGGTTCCTCAAGGCGTCAAAGTTCTCATTTAGAACCTAAGCCTAGTAAAATGCGGTAACTAGTCTTTAGAGGTAGTTATGTAGGATAGAAAAGTATTCCTATCTGCTTTGCTGTGGGAACCAATCTCGAGCCAATTACCGAAGGACTTCGTTGACGTAAATATCATTTCAAGTAGTTACACATCGTTTCCAATACTTTACACAATGCGTTGCCCAACCCTCAGGCACCAACCACCCGGATTCGGGAAAGTACAGACATGTGCATTCTATAGTTGTACCAGTTGATAAATGCGCGGGAATGCGGTCGAGGCAAGGGAGACGTCGGGAGAACAAAAAGAGACGGGTCGCATGTAACAATGTCGCTGCTGTATGTATTCGAGCCCAACAAGGTCACACAGTCCCGATAGCTATCGATCGCCGACGGGGCAAACGAAAGATCGACGATTCGCTGCAGCCACCTGGTGAGACAAAACACGCCTCGTGTGCCCCATGTCTTGGGTGGTCTGATCAAGAGTGCTCGACTTGGAGAGGGAGACCCCGCGAAGACAAGACATGCCTTTTACCTGCGACGAAGCATTTTTGTTTGTCGCCGATTCCAGCCTGCGTTTCAGAAAAGGAATGTGAGAGCGGGCGGTGAGCTCCAGTCAAAGTGCCGACGGGATTTCGCTCTTTCTGCCTTCTGCCTGCCGGGCCAACGGCGGGACAGATGAAGGGTCCTGCGCCTAGAAAGGCACCCCAGCCAGGTCCGAGCGGGGACCTTCCCTGGGAATCGGCCGAAAGAAGCAATCAAACGCAATCGACCCCTCATGATTGGCTAACGGTAATCGACAGGATGAAGTAACTGCATCCGAACTAGTGCGGCGGGGAAAGGTGAACGCTGTCAACACATCCAAGTGGGCCGTGGCAACGGCTCGACGGGAACACCAGGAGATTGAGAGCGCGGTTAACGTTTGAACAACAAAAAGTTTATTCGCCTAGTCTGCTGGGCTGCCTACCGAGGTGGCCTCGAACGCCTTCGTCGTTATGCGGTAATTATGAGGAAAACCTTTGTACTAAAATCCGATTCATATTACCTACTACGTATTATACCTATTAAACGGCGATGTGGGCTGCGAAGTGACGTGGAAATCCAACCGTTTTCTTTGTCGCGTGGTGTTTCTGGTGGTCCAGGAAACCAATCCGCTGCCATTTCTTGCTGGGGGTACCTGGGCGGTGAGAGGTTGGTGGGGAAGCTTCCTCGGGAAGGCGTTCGAGGGGCGAACGGGATGTCGAGGACGAATCCCGAAATCCACTTCTCTTCTCTCGGCTCGGAACTTGATTATGCGAGGCTCCTTCACTTCGAGAGAGACCGAGAGAGAAACGGCTTGCAGCGATGTACCCCGGTGTGCCTGTTGGATGTGATCTCGTCCATGGAGGGAGGGGTTCGCAATTTTTTTTTTTTTTTGGAGGCAGGCATCGGGTCACTGCGGGGGAGTGCTGATGTCACCGACTGGCCACAGCGCCGCGCAGGAAAAGGCAATCTGGCAAAAAAGACCACGGTGATGACGGCAAGCGGGAAGCGCGTCTCGCCGCTCATGCCTCGCTGATGGTCGCTCTGACCCTCTTCGCAACGGAATCGATTGGTTCTTTGGGATCAGAACGGGACCCAGAGTCAGAACCTGTCGTGTGTCAACGGGAAAGTTTTTGTGGGCCCGTGCGTGTGGGATGTCCCCGCTCAGCTGAGAGCCTCTCTTGCATGCAGTTGCAGGGAGACAGGGTTTCTTGCCATGCCTGCTCCTCGCCTGCTGGTCAGTCAATCTCTGCATGGGGGTACTCGAGCTGTTGCAGCCACACACATCGGGAGGTTTACTCCAAAAAGTGGATTCATACCGCCTTTTCGGATGGTGAGCCCCTGCCATCCCTGCATAAAAATCGAGTTTTGAGTGGTTCCCGCCGCACCCGTCTGCAAGGCTTGGCAGCCTGGGCTCGGCGCATCGAAGTCGTCGCCCCCTTCTCCCAAGTACGTATCATTCAAACAGTCCTGTGCCAACCCACCTCCCCAATCGGTAAAGCGTAAAAAAAAGTTACGGCTTTCCCTGGCTTCCATGCCTGGGTCCTCCCTCCGTCCCTCCCCCATCTCCGAACCCTCCGTTCGTCTCGCTGTTGTTGTTTTTCGATCTTGCCTTCTTCCCTTGCCTGATCATCTTCTCTCAGCACCTTCGATTGATTTCATTTCCGGCTCGGGTCCTCGTGCGCAAAAAAAGGGTTCTGTTCTGCCGGACTGTTGGTGGTTTCACACGTGCGCCAGAGGTGCATTGGTATTTTTTGACCCTGCTTAGACGTGCTCCTGGCGATCCAGCATCCATCCAAGACCAGCCGCCGCTGTGTATTGCATAGAGGGGAATTTCCGAGCTTCGTCGCAAGCCGCAAATCCGTCGCAGCTTGTCGTGTTCTCTTTTGCTTTTGCGTCCTTGAGCAATCATGCGGCCGTATAATACACGCCACAAGACGCTGTCGCTGCATTCGCTGGGGATTCACGTCCCTGGGTCCCATGCTAGCCGCGCACCAACAAACCGAGCGTCCTCGATGGCCTCGCCCGCCTCTCCAGCCTCTCCTATCAAAAACAGCCAGCCGCCAACAAAACGGCTGAAGCGCTCCTTTAGCGAATCCTCGGATGATGCGCCACCCGTTCGCCGCTTGTCCAAAAAACGCGACGATGTAGTCAAGTTCGATAATACACCGCCGCCGTCACCGCCTACCAAGCGCCGCCCCTCCATTGAGATGAGCGAGGATGAGGGCACGGGCCCAAAAACAATTGACATGGAGGGGATCAACGACGAAATTGTCGAGGCCGTCATCGTCCTGCTGCAAAATTCGGGGAATCGACCGCACTTGGTAAAAGAGCTCGCCGCTGTCTTGATGCTGCAACTCAAAATTGTCCAACAGTAAGTCTTACTACAGCTTAATTGTTTTTGAAGTACATTGACGGCTAACATAACGCTTTGCCCAGATCCGCGAATCCGTGCGCTATCGTCTCCTCGCGACTAGCCTCCTACCTCAAGCGGTCAACATGGTCGGCTCTCTCCCCTTGCCCGCTTGCCAAAGAATTGGAGTCAGTCCACCCGCGTCGGACCTACTTCTACCTCACAACCTGCCCACACCTGCCGCTGCCAGATCCATCCCAGGCGTCTTCGACAATGAGCTTTCTCGCACACACTCGCAGCATCATCTCGCCGAGTCCGTCTAGTGCGCCGTCCATGACCGCGGACGAGTCCGACATGGAAAGGCGGCGCGAGCTCAGCCCAAGTCCAGAGGTCGACCTGTCGAGTCCAGAGTTTGATGACAGGGACGACGACTTTGCCATGCCCGGCACACCCGTCGGATCCTTCTCCACCAGCGGCTTTTACATGCGGCCGCGCCCAGTAGTGCACAGCACCTCGGCCCGCCACGGGCGCGCGGGCTCGCCGCCGTTGGAAAAGGACGAGAAGGAGTTCACACAGACGGCTGACGGTTTACAAAGGAGGAAACTCAATGATGACCTGTCTCCGTCGAACAACGCAGCGCCCGCTGACCCTACAGCGAGCATAATAGATCTCGAAAGGGACGAGAGCTCGCTATTTGGTGTCATTGGCGGGTTTGCCGCGTCGTTGGTGTCCAGCCCGGCCATCCGACCGTCGACAATGTCTCTTAACTACTTCGGGAAAAAAGATGGCGACGTGGACGGCTGGGCCAAGTACGAGGGCATGCTGGAGTGGGACCGCAGTCCCGAGAACATTGCGCTCGAGGAGCTCGATGGGCTGCTGCTCGATTACTAAGCCGGGGTCTGGTATCTTGCCAGGGCCCCGGCGAGGTGTGCGTGTCTGCTCGCTCGGCTTCGTGCCGACGATGCGACCGACCCTTGTACGATGAAGAAGCTGGGCGGGTGGTTCCGCCAGCTTGCGATGGTGTTTTGCTGTTATGATTTCCTTTGCTATTGTCTCTACTATTATCGTGCTGTGGGGTTTTCTGTTTTCGGTTTGGAGTTTTATCGAGGCCAGGTCTTCCCATAGAAGAGGCTAAGGTCCACGGCGTTTATGGCTGGCTTAGCTGATGTGGGTTGCAAATTGGCGTTCTGGAGGCTGGAGAGTCGGCAAAGGGGGCGGTGGTGGCTACGTTGCTACTTTTTTACGTTGCGTTTTTCTTGGTTACTATCTCTCTTCCGATTTTTCTTTTCTCTCCTCGGTCGATGTTTTGGTAGAAAAAACAGGGGCTTGGGGGTGGATCCCCGGGCTGGGAGAGGGCAACGAAAATTCGGAGAAATGAAGATGAAAGACGGATAAGAAAGAGGCGGTGCCAGGACCGGCCCGGGTCAAGGGGGTTTTTGACCTGTATCTGTATCACGGCACACCTCAGCCCGTTCTACATTACGAACTTGCTATGGTCGGTCAGGGGTGATATCTACGCACCTAGAGAGACGGAGTGCCATGGTTTTGGGGGTAGGAATGGCGCCAAGATGATGGGATAGACAGAGCCTAGTTTGTTTAGACGTCCGTGGATGGAGCGTCGGCTACAAGAGTCCCGAGGATGGGCAAGGTGGTGGTGTCGGAAGACGAAATACAATCAATCTCCCATCAATCATGAAGATGGTTATTATTATCATGTCAACTTGGAAACCTGACCGGCGGATTCTTGTTATTCAAGAACGAAACTCCGTTGGGCATTGTATGGATTTATGTGGTATCGTACAACAAGTAAGCCCGATTTATACAAGCAGCACGTACACTAAGAGCCCACGAACCCCTACCTCCGACCACTGCCGGCTGGCTTATGGTCAACGTAGCCCAGAGCCTGGCTATTGACCTTCAATTCAATCAGCAGCGTGGTGCCGGCCTGCAACCACAACGGCCGCTCTAGCCGGACCAGCTCCAGGCCAGGAATATCCTCGACCGCGTCCAGGACGAGCTTCTCAATGTCCCTATTCCACCAGCAGCCAAACTTGCGGAAGTGCTTGTCCGCCGTTTCGTCCAGCCCCTTGTTTACCCAGTTGGAGCTCCCGCGCCCGTGTTCCACCAGCAGAACCCGGCCCGTATCCGGCTGCACCATGCCCGCCATGTTAGCCAGCAGCCGGGCCGGGTCCGCAACACTGCACAGCCCAAACGTCTGGATAATCGTATCGTACTTCGTCGGCGCCTCCACCCCCCTCCCGCCGGCCGTCACCCCGTCCCCAACTTCTGAACGCAGCAGCGGCGCGGGCGGCGCAGGCGGCGGCGGCAACCCCCTCAGCGCGTCGCCCAGCACCAGCCGCACGCGCCCGTCCAGCACCTCCACCACGGGCAGGCCCCGGTCGGCAACCTCGTCCACCCGCAGCCGCGGCATCTCCTCGATGCGCCGCCGGCGCATCAGCCGGTCCAGCCCCGGCACGGCGCTGCGGATGCGGTCGCGCGCCACCGCCATCATGTCCGCGCTCACGTCCACCCCCGTGAAGCTCAGCACCTCGCCGGGCAGCGAGCCGATGGCGTGTCCGTGCTGTTGTTGATGTTGTTGGCCGCGGAGGGCGGGCCCGCCGGGCCGGTGCTGGTCGAGCAGGCGGACGAGGCGTTCGCGTTCGCGCGCGGCGCGGGCTTCCGTCTCGTCTTGGGATTGCGAGATCACCTCGTCCCAGGTGTAGTGCGCCAGGTTGCGGCCCGTGCCGACGGCGACTTCGAGCACGTGGCCCCGCGCTTCCCGGGCGATTTCCTTGCGCAGTCCGGTGATGCCCATTAGCCATTCGGGGGTGTTGAGGGATTTGTCGAAGGCTTGTGCGGTGATGTGGCCTGTGGCGGCGGTGCTGGTGTCGAGTTTTGCGGGGAGGCCGGGAA